AGTCGGCAGTCACAGGAGACCGAGCTCTCCTCCTGTGACAGCAAGTCAGGCTGGAGAGCGGGTACAAGCAGTGGGTGATCAGTGATCACTATATGTAAATAATTGAGGACATCTAGTATGTTGCTCTACAACGCTTCTGTTCATTCATGATTGTGGATATAGTAAACATAGTATCTCCACATGTTATGAATGAACAGGATTCCTGTTAATTTATAACGGGGGCTGCAGAAAAAGAGATTGTGGCCTCTGTGTGCTCAATCTTTTTCTATTTTAAAAGGGAAATAGGGGTCTGTTTTAGACCCCTGATGTTTTCCAGAGCCCCCAAACAGTAAAGTAAAAAAAATATATTCAATAAATAAAATCTATATAAAGTTTAGAAAAAAATAAAATATTTGAATTTTTCTTTAAAAGGTTAGGAAAGAAATACTTTTTGATTTTCGGCCTGACAATTTTTTTTTTTAGTTTCAAAATTTTATTTTGGTACATCTCTAAAATAAAGTAAACAGTTCCTGAGATTTGTCAAAGCTAAAGCTTCAGTTAGTCCACTTGTCATTGCTACCTGCTGGTAAAACCTGGAATTAAGTGCCACCAACAACATACGGCTCTTATGCGTGCACAACATTGTATTTTATTGGTTGTCGTTACCCTAATTTAGAAAGTCCCAGACTTGCCCATCCCTGATCCAGCAAGAATTCAGAGGAGGCTGCCATTTCTCAGAATATTCTCAATCAGGACCGCACATGCACACCGCATTCTCCAATCAGTCCTGTAAAGAGTTCATACTCTGGCAGGATATAGGTTTGGAAATTGTGGTATGCATGTTCGGATCTGACAGAAAAGAATTGACATTTGGCGGTCTATCCCCAATGCAGATCTTGCTGAATTGAGGATAGGCTAGTATAACATTTCAGTAAAATTGCAGTTCGAATTTAAGACTGGCTCGATCCCGGACTTGTTTTGTCTGACTTCTGCATCTTGTACCTGCAGGTTCAAGGGGCTCAAACCGACTGTTGTCCTTCTCTCCCGAGGAATTTCCAACGCTGAAAGCAGCTGGCGAGCAAGACAAGGTTGGCAAAGAAAAGAGCGGCTTAGATCCGTCGTATGGGCCCGGACCAAGCCTCCGCCCCCAGAGTAAGCCCCTCGCCCTGCTTCCCGGTAACCGCTCTGAACATTTTATTGTCTGTCTTCCTTATGTTTTAGTTTGTCACCCTAAAACTGTATAATGATTTTCTAGGCTAGTGATTCTGGTTTCTTCATAGACTACATAGTGCCAGCATGCCCTCAGATTCTGCCTAAGGGGTTACGATTGTTTTGGTCAAACATGCAGTGTTTAAATTCAAAATATACTGTATAAGGATCCTTACTATTTGTGCCAGTTGTCCTATTTTCCATAGTCACCAGGACAGTGTGTGGTGGGGGTTATGGTCACTGGAATAGGAGGTGGTGGGAGTAGTCTTCTGGGTAAACATGTTCCAGTGACAATGACAAAGGGCTTTTACCTCTCTTTTGGAGAGATTTCATCTGGACAGAAAGTAAAGGAGAATTCATTTTACACATTTTTGACTTTACACATTTTATGGTTTATTGAATGATGAACCTGGGTTGGGTGGTGGGAAAAGACTGGAACACTTGTATGTTTACTGTGAGCTTCAGATCTTATGTGGAAGTTCTTTTAGTGTCTGGTAGATGTGCATTGAGAGAGCTTTGTGAAGGTGCACTCGTGCAGCACTACTAAGCAGGAAGTATACGTTGCTGTTAGGAGCTATGGCTGCCCGCATGTAAATATGTAGTTGTAAAATACATTGTCCTTATGTATATTTTCTATTACGCTAAAGTTTTACATGTGTACCCAGAAGGCTAATGTAACTCTTTAACCACTTGCTGACTGTGGTGTTTACACCCCCTTCCTGGCCAGACCATTTTTCAGTATTCAGCGCTGCGGTACTTTTGACATTTATTCCGTCATGCAACGCTGTACTGAAACAAATTTTATACCATTTTTGGGGGACAGATAGAGCTTTCTTTTGGTGGTATTTATTCACCACTGGGGTTTTTATTTTTTACTATATTAAGGAAAAATTACTCAAAATTTTGAAAAGAACCCTAATGTCACCTAGGGACCCCAAGAGAAGCTGATGAAGCAGAGATCTGCTTCACCAGCTTCTCTCCGGTTTTTGTACCGGAGAGTGGCAGAGGATGCGGAATTGATGTAGTAAACATCACTTCCTGCATTCAGAGAGCGGAGGGAGATCGTGTACTGATTTCCCTCCGTTCTCAGTGCACAGAGTCAAATCGCCCATCCGGGATCGCGGGGGCGGCGACCACGAGGAGCGGTAAGGAGGGGAGCGCACAGACATGCATCATACAAGCGATGATGCATGTATCCCGGCCCTATATAAGTCTGTGGAGCACTACTGTAAAGGTGCAACCAGGGTAGTGAAGACTTGGCGTTGGAAATGGAGCCATGGGTGTCAGATCGAGTATAAATCGGAGTGGGTTAGGTCAGGGGAAGGTGGGAAAAAACCATTAGCCCTCATTCACACTAGAAAAGGCCGGCACGTATAGCTCTGTGCTGCGTGCACAGCCGTATCGGGCAGTTCCTGGGAAGGACAGTTGCTACATGTGATTAGTACGCAGCCCCCGTCCTTCTCTATGGGAGTACGCCGCTCTACACTCCCCTGCCCTGCACGTCCGTACTCGTGCACTGACTGGATGGATCCTGTCTGCGACCGAGCCAGGCAACGCGGACCTGCATTTGGGTTGAGCGTAGGGCGGCGTACTCCGATAGAGAAGGACGGGCTGTGTACTAATCACAGGTAGCACCTGCCCTTCCTGGGAGCTGCCCGATACGGCCGTGCACGCAGCACGAACTCTACGTGCCGGCCTTTTCTAGTGTGACTGAGGGCTTAGTACGCTTTGATTTAATCTGCACTTATCCTTTTGATCGTTTTTACTGCCCTCTTAGATTAAGCTCTTGAAGTATCGTTGCGTATGATGACTTTTGGTAGTTGGTGTGAGCCATGTCTGCAGAATATTGTCGGTGCAGGCTGAGCATTTTGCTCCCTGCCATTGGGGATGAAGTGCTAAGGCAAACTCTCCAAAATGTATACAATTCATACTGTGCACAAAAGGAACTTCAGTTTATACTCTGTTCTGTTTTTTAGGATTTGTGAGATCAGGGAAGTTTCAAGTTTCTTATCTGTTATGCCCCCCTGCCTGTCAGTGGAAGGTGAAAGTGTTAATCTCTGTTTCTTCTTATGCTCCCGTTTCAGATGTCACCAGTTGGAGGGAGGGCGGTGGGAGAAGCATCTCTAGTGGCATATCTCCAACCGTCTCTCCTACTGAGCCGGGCAGCAAGTCCACCATCTCTGGAGATGGGGCCCCCTCCGCGGCGCAAGCTAACGATTCCAAGGAGCTTTCGCTACGCCCGGCTCAGCCTACTCGAAAAGGGGCTTCGCAGTTTTTGGGAAACACATACCATCCACCAACTTACCATGATATGCTGCCAGCTTTTGTGAGTGTCAATAGGGTGCATTATTTGTGTTTGTTATTGGATGAATATTTAAAATATTTGTGTAAATAGAACAAATTTAAGGAGAACTATGGAGTTACGGCTTTTCCCCGTAGTTCTCCTTAGGGTAACGGGAGGACACAAACCAGCGTCCTCCCGACACCCTAGGCTCAGTATACCGCGAGCTCTAGCTCGCGGTATACTGAGACGCTGAAGCGGAATCCGACAATTATGTCTGGATCCGCCCAGCTGCGTGACTGCCTCTGCCTATCTAGAGGCAGAGCCAGCTGTACCTGCCCCGTCCGTTCCGCCAGTAAGCGCTGGCGGATCGGAGTGGGAAGGAGGGAATCCAGGCCCTCCCCTGTCACGGCAGAGAGCCGTGACCGGATAGAGAGGTGAGCGAACGCCGGTATGTGTTCGCTCACCTCCCGATCTACTGAGCCGACCTGTGACAGTCTCATTGTCACAGGTCGGCTAGAACTATGAGGTGAGTGAAAAGCACTCGCCTCATAGTTCTCCTTTTTAAAGCAGAGTTCAATCTTTTTAAAATATTTTATATAAAACATGACACATTACAAATGTTGCACAATGCTTTTGGCACGTTAAACTTGTACATGCACCACAGTGCTTTTCTAAATAGTTGCGAAATATGTGCTATTCCTTTTGCTATCCCATCCAACAGTATTTGTTCATAGAGGCTAAACTCTTTAGTTCTCCTCCTCTTATGTCACAGCTCCCCATCTCCCACACGCCTCTTAACTCCTCTTAAGGGGTCATTACCTGACTGCCTTTTTTTTTTTTTTTTTTTCTTCCAGCTTTGCCCCCAACACTTTATGATGAGGTTGACTAGATTCCTTTTTTTATGATTGGTTATCACACCTGCTTCTTGGCTTTTAGTGGGAGTTAATTAGTTTGATTTGCTTTAGGCCTACTTCCTTAGTATGGAGCACAACTTTTGTATTGGGCTTTATTGTCTTGATTAAGACCTTGGGCCAATAAGTGACTGTTTTTCTCTTTTCAGATGTGTTCTCAGCACCCAACCGAACCCACTGGGACATTGGATCGAGCTTCCTTCCCCACCCTTACCTCCTCCCAATCCCGTCTTGAACCCCGTGTACCATTTAGACAATACCAGATAAACAATCATGAAGGGTAAGTGGAAATGTGTGTACAGTCTGTGCTTGTGGCCACTGTTCTCTTGAGTGCTCAGCTTGAACAATGTGCATTGTCTATGCAATGCTGTCAGTTTAATCACACATAGATTGATTTCATTGACTTCTCTGATAAATGGAGGTTGTCTTTTACACACAACAAGCTAATACTATAAAGCTTTTTCTAGGGATGTCCTGATACCAGTTCAGATACTAGTGCCGATACTTGGCATTTTCATGAGAACTACCAGGGTTGCAGCTGGGACCTAGCTCTCATTCTCCACCACTGTCCTGAAATCATTAGTTTGTATTGTTTTAGATAAAAAACAAAAATGTATCAGTACTTGTATCTGTGAGGACATGGACAATCCAGTAGACAAGATGTCAAAAAAAACAAAAACGCAGTATTGCAGTGTATATAATTTATATTTGTTGGCACTCTCTCACCTAAAACCAAAAAAGCTTTCCCTTTGAAATGTAATTAAATGTGTTCTGTCAATTTATCAAGCAGGAAAGAAAACCGGCCTAATGGTGGCAATTTCCGGCCGGTACGGCCGCAAAGGCCCCAACATGAAAGGGCTCCGCGGGCCACTATTATCAATGCTGAAGATCTTAAAGAATTAGATGACCTGGATAATGATGCAGAAGATGGTTGGGCAGGTGAGGGGTGAAAACTTAGAGTTTAAACGGCACATTTGTTAACTTTTGTAAATTTTGTTAACTTTTGTGGACACTTGGACAGCTTGCATTTGAGACACTTGTGTGTGTGGCTTTTTGCTCCCGGCCCTGTTTCTAACCTCCAATCTTCCTACATCACCACAAAGATTAGCAGATCTTAAACCATAGCAGGTTTTCTGGGTCAGGGTTCCATTGCCCTAGTTCCTGTGCAAAACGGTTGAATTAATATGTACAAATCTTGGATCGCGTGGATTGGTGGACATTAAGGAAGCTTACCTATATGTTCCCGTCTTTGTGCTCTGGGGCCCCTTCACTACTAGTTGTGGCCCTGCCTTTTCGGCTGCTTGTCTGTACCCTGGGTTTTCACCGAGGTGCTGGTCCCAGTATTTCCAGTAGTAGCCCTGCTGAACTGTCATTACATTCCCATTGTGTGATAGTTTGACAACCTCCTTTTTTGGGAACAGTTGGCCCAGGCTCTGTTGGCCATTGCGGCTTAGAATCTTCAAATCTTACAGCAGTTAGATAGATCCTGAACTTACAGAAATCTTTGTTGGAATACCTAGGGCTAGGCTGGCACAGGCCAGTGTGTGCGCTCTCCAGTCCAGGAGTTGTCTTTTCTGTCTGCTTTTTTCAAGAGTTTTGGGCCTGATGATAGCTTCCGTCTAGGCTGTCCTGTTTGCCCAGTTTCAGTCCAGACCTCACCAACGCAACATTCTGTTATGGGACAAGTCAGCCCAGACAGACTGATTTGCTTTGCACCAAGTACCATTTAGGTGGCTCAGAAATCTGGCTGTCGTATTGAAGTCTCTTTATTCCCACGTTTTGCAAGATCCTCATGATGGATGCCAGCTTCTCTGGCCGGGGAGGAGTTCTGGGCACTGTCATTGCAAGGAACTTAGTTGGAGGAGTCTCCTCTCCTGATCAACATTCCAAAGGTATGGGCAATCTGGCTCTGTCTGCATTGTTGGACCATCCTGCTGGAGTCATCTGACCCAGGTGGATATTGACTGCTCATTTGATGCCAGCTTTGTGCATAAGGTCCTGCAGGCAGTCACCAGTTTTGTTTATCTTGGTCCTGTTAGCGTTGCCCGCCCTTCATGTACGACTGCTCTTGGACATCCTGAAGGTGAATGACTTCCTGCGTCCCTCTGTGGATGAAAAAGAAAATAGGATTTTTGCACCCATCATAAAATTCTTCTGTTTCATTATTTTGAGGGACGCAGGTCCCGCTGTGTGTTTATGATCATGGTCTTAGTAGTGCTTTGCTATTCAAATGATACATACTTGTTAGCACAATGTACTATCCTGGGCTTTCCTGTAGTTTTTTGCTTGCCAGTTTTCAACAGTATAACCCAAGGATGAAGGACTTCTGCACACTCTAAGGAATCAATTTTTACATGAAGTACAAAATTCTACCTCCACCTTTACTTCACCTGCCTATCCATTAAGTGCCCGAAGTAAACACCTTGTACTTTCTGGTATGGAGTAGCATGTAAATTGTTGACAGTGCTAGGCTAGTCGGGGAGTCCATAGCCCAGTATAAGCGTAAATAAAACTATAGTTCTCATGCCACCCTTATTCATATGCCAGAGCAAAAATAAGGCAAGTGTATGCTTTTGGGAAGGGGGGTCATAAAAGCAAACCTGTTGCTTCTACATTACATTACCAAAGCATAGGTTCAGTTAATTGTTAAGAATACTGTAATTCCCCAGGATTGTCTGTATTTGCAGTTTTAATTGCAAAATAGTCTTCTCTGATCAATCATTCTTCAGGTCTCCATGATGAAGTGGATTATTCAGAAAAGCTAAAATTCAGTGAAGATGAAGAAGAGGAGGAAGTTACAAAAGAAAACGGAGCTAAATTGTAAGAGACTTATTACTGCTTGTTTAAACCTGTTGCTTAAACCCTGCTTCTGTTCTTCAGGCATTATTACCTTATCTGTGCACTCTAATGGGAGAGACAATTGCCTAACAACATGTTTTAATACCCAGAAGTGGTGCTTTTTTTTTTTATTTTAATACTACAACAAACTACACGCATTATGTGTGTACTGGGTTATGGCCACATTTTATTTATTCTTTATTAGAATTTTCCATAACATTTATAACAAATAACACAATTACACCAAGTTCTCTTTTATACATGCATGTACAAATATATACATAGCTTTCTTTCTTTCCCCTATATTCCATATAGCCTCACCCGAATCCCATTGCAATATTTATTTTTGTACCTCCTTCTTTTAATTGTTTTAATGTCGGGTGGCTTGGTCTTACCTACATATCTATCGGCCTATCAAACTTAGGGGTGCAAAGGGCACTTATTTGTTTTGAATGTGCAGGCAGCACATAATGCATGAAAGTCTGCATCTGCAGCATTTTTAACAGCACAGCATGTGTATTTTGGAGTGGTGTAGCGGAGGTGAAATGGCATCTTACTATATGTGTGTTCGTTGGATTCCCTTTCACCCTACATTATCTGCATTTCTGTAAAACATGCATTTTAGCAGTAGTCACCACAGTGCACAAGAGTTGCCAACCTCATACAATCTGGTCACACAATGCAGACCTACAGCCAAAGGTTAGTCACATTTTTTTATTTAGATTGAACCAATGTTATGTTTTCTGATTCGGTTCCCTGTTGAAAATAATTTGCTCTTTAAGGCCTGGTTCACACCTGAGCGTTTTTCTGAGCCGATAGTCACACGAAAACACAGATTTCCATGCAAGTCAATGGTGACTTTTACACCTTAACGTTGTGTCGCACGTAGGAAACCGCCTGTTGCTGCGAAAAGATGCAGGAGCGGATTTCAGGCGGGTACCGTGCTGTTTTGGCCCCATAGACCTCTCTATGCTGGGAGAAGCCCACGATTTGAAAAGCAAAAACGCGCAGAAAAAAAATCACGTGATAAACGCACAAAAACACATGAAACTGAAAACGCCTAGGTGTGAACATAGCATGTTTCTAACAAAACATAAAGCTTATATTTAGGACAGGAAGTGAGGTGAAATCTTGCCTGTGGTGACATTCTGAAAACCTGACAGATATTTACCTTTCCTTATTGCAGGAAGATGTTTGTTGCTGTTTAAACAATTTTGGGGGCAATTTACTCCCTGTCTGACACCGTTCACCTTTAGGCCCCGTTCACATTGCGCGTTTTGTCGCGCAAATGCTTGCATTGAGCAAGCGAGAATCGTGGCAAAATCCGCTCCAAAAAGGGTCCTGCTGTAGCGACACACGACCCGCGACAGCAGGACCCCTTGCCCCATTGAGATGCATTGAAGAGCGATATCACGCGGTAAATAGCCACGATATCGCAGGAATTACCGCGCGATAAATCTGCTCAATGTGAACGGGGCCTAACAGGAAGTGAATGGCATCACTGGCAAAATGGCAGTAAACACGTGGCAGAGGTCGTAACTCTCCTATTTAAAAACAAACAAACTCCTAGCTGATGTTGGATTTTACCCATTTAATCCTATCACCAGTGTGCAACAAGGTTAAGCTGGATGAATGTGGCTGTTTGCTAACCGCTAATATTTCTCATTGGTTCCAGGAATGGCTGGGACTCTAGAAGGCAGCGACAAGTTTCCTTTAACTCCACTGATAGCGCTGAAACAAAGCACCCAGTTGAGGATGGAAAGGTGTGGAATGACTCAGGGGTGCACAATCGTCCTACAAGAAGGGCCCCAGAGTCTGGCCAGCAAGTTCCCCGCAAAGCAAACAGTTGGGCTGCAGTGGCAGAACACCAGGTACGATTTTCACTAGGGCTGCAGCTAACGATTATTTTCCAAATTTAAGTTTAGTTAGCCGATTGTTAAGTTCGATTAATCGGGGGAAGAAAACTATAAAAAAAAAAAAAAAGAAACAATGGCTCCAGTGATGGACTACTAGTTTGTAGTGAGAATGTAGTCCATTACGGGAGCAAGCTTGGAGCGGTGGCTACTTTACAATACACATGGGGAACAAAAGTAGCCACCCTCTAGAAGGAAGGACAGTGTCGGCTATAGGGTAATACAACAAATCCCAGTAATGATACATTATACAGTGGCGCAATGCAGAATACCACCAGCTATAGATGAATACAACAAATCCCAGCAATAAGACATTATACAACTGCGCAATGCAGAATACCACCAGCTATAGAGGAATACAACAAACCCCAGCAATAATACATTATACAGTACAATGCAGAATACCACCAGCTACAGAGGATTACAACAAATCCCAGCAATAAGACATTATACAGCACAATGCAGAATACCACCAGCTACAGAGGATTACAACAAATCCCAGCAATAGTTCATTATACAGTGGTGCAATGCATAATACCACCAGCTGTAGAGGACTACAAAACCCAGCAATAGTACATTATAGCTGGCGGCATTCTGCATTGCGCTGTATAATGTACTATTGCTGGGACTTGTAGTCCTCTATAGCTGGTGGTATTCTGCATTGTGCTGTATAATAGTAGATATAGAGGAATACAACAAATCCCAGCAATAAGACGTTATACAGCACAATGCAGAATACCACCTGCTATAGAGGAATACAACAAATCCCAACAATAAGACATTATACAGCGGCGCAATGCAGGATACCACCGGCTATAGAGGAATACAAGAAACCCCAGCAATACAGTGTATAATGTATTGCTGGGATTTGTATTCCTCTTTAGCTGATGGTACATTGTGCTGTATAATAGTAGATATAGAGGAATACAAATCCCATTATGCCAGCAATACATTAATACAGCACCATGTGGGGGGCAAAGTGCAGGCAGTCTTACCTAAACAGTCTCCAAGCAACTTTCTTCCCTGAGATCGTGGGGTTGTCTGTCGGCAGCTGCCGTCCCCCCACGCCTGCTTCTCCTGGCTTCCAGTTCTGTCTCCCTGTGACGATCGTGGGTGCCGATCTAGGATCGTGTTGTGGGCAGCGGTGAGTCAGTGAGAGCCCAGAGCTGGGTGAAGCAGCGTGTGGGGCGCCGCAAGCAGGGCAACTAATTGAAAGTCAGCTAATTGATGGAAAACATTGATAATGTTTTCCATCATCGATTATAATCGGCGTAGTCGATTAGTTCCAGCCCTAATTTACACGGTCATAAAAAATACAGGGGAACCCATCCTTGTCTTTCAACATGGGATTGTGGGTGTTTCTTTCAAGAGAACCTGTCAGGTTTACCTCACTGTTGACACTGAGTCTTTATAGCCCTACTTCAGCTTATATTTTTTTGTAACATTAAGAATGCTGTGGAAAAGGATGAGGAACTTCTATCGGGTTTAATTTACGGTCTGTGTCCGGTTGAAGAGTTCCTCTCCTTTCTGTTTTGGTGGCTGGGTGTCACAAAGAGAAGCAGTCATTGTATATCTAGCTAATAAGGATAGTGTCCTTGTACATCATGCTGACTGTTGTCAGTCTTTGTAACATGCTGATGTACAGGGATGCATTTTTTTTTTCCATGTATTTTGATCTTTTTATGTATTGCTGGCCTTTTTGAAGGTGCATTACTCCAGAGCTCTCAATAGTTCAGCTGCCATTTTAACCTCCCTGTTAAAATAACTTGGTTCCTGGAAGAAGTAAGCTCATTTTCCAAGCTGCATGCTTATTCTAGATATGTAAGGCTGTCATTTCCAGAGACAGTCAGGTAACTAGCTTTTTAGTATTCCCGTACCCCCAGGTTTTGTAATAGCAGAGTTACTTAAATGACTGCAAATTGTTTAGTGGTTTTGCCCTAGGGGTGTGCAAGATTGTCAACTTACAGCTGTGAATTTGTGCTGTATGCAATGTGCACCCAATGTTTGGGTGTTGATCAGAGGATTTTGTTTTTTTAATAAAGGGAGGATATTTTTTTTTTTTTTAAATTGTATGTGTATAAAATATATACTTTTATAATTTTTGTTATCAATTTACAAAATGCAAAGAATCTAAATCAAATGAATATTTGGTCTGACTACCCTTTTGGCTTCAAACCAGCATCACCTCTTACACTTGCACAAAGTCAGGGATTTTATAGGATTAGAGTCAGGTGCATGATTAACCAATTATACCAAGCAGGGACTAATCAATTTCATATGTAGGTTGTCATTACCTGAAACAGAAATAGCTGTGTATGAGGCTTAAAACTGGGTGAGGAACAGCCAAACCCTGCTACTAAGGTGAGGTTGTGGAAGACAGATTCATGTCACAGGTCATACCAGCCTTCCCACCATGGCAAGGCTGAGCTACACAAGAAGACACAAGGAAGTTATACTGCATCAGCAATGTCTCTCACAGGCAAAGATTTCAAAGCAGACTGGGGTTTCAAGATGTACTATTTAAGCTCTTTTGAAGAAGCACAAAGAAACAGTCAACGTTGAGGACCGTAGACGCAGTAGTCGTCCAAGGAAACTTAAAGGAGAACTATGACATGAGTGATTTTCACTCACCTCATAGTTCTAGCCGACCTGTGACAATGAGACTGTCACAGGTCGGGTCAGTAGATCGGGAGGTGAGCGAACACATACCGGGTTCCCTCACCTCTCGATCCTGTCACGGCTCTGCCGTGACAGGGGGAGGGGCTGGATTCCCCTCTCCCCGCTCCGATCTGCCAGCGCTGACTGGCGGAACAGACGGGGGAGGGGGCGGGTACAGCTGGCTCTGCCTCTAGATAGGCAGAGCCAGCTGTCACTCACGCAGCTGGGCGGATCCCGTCATCTAAGTCAGGATCCGCTCCAGGTGCGGCGTCTCAGTATACCGCAAGCTGTAGCTCGCGGTATACTGAGCTTAGGGTAACGGGAGGACGCTAGTTTGTGTCCTCCCGTTACCCCAAGGAGAGCTATGGGGAAAAACACTGACCCCCCATAGTTCTCCTTTTTAATGCTGCAGAAAAGACGCCTCGTGTTTACCTCCCTTCGACATTGCAAGATGTACAGCAGTGCCATCAGCACCGAACTGGCGGAAACCAGTGGGACCCAGGTACACCCATCTAGTGTCCGGAGAACTCTGGCCAGAGGTGGTCTTCATGGAAGAATTGCGGCCTGAAAGCCATACCTCCGACATGGAAACAAGGCCAAGTGACTCAACTATGCTCAAAAACATACAAACTAGGGGTGCAGAAAAATGGCAGCTGGTGCTCTGGATGGATGAGACAAAATTTGAAATATTTGGCTCTAGCAGGAGAGTTTGTTCACAGAAGGGCTGGTGAGCGGTACAATTGGTGTCTGCAGGCAACAGTGAAGCATGGTGGACGTTCCTTTTAAGTCTGGGGCTGCATTTCTGCCAGTGGAGTTGGAGATTTGGTCAGGATCATTGGTGTCCTCCAATGCTGAGAAATACAAGCAGATACTTATCCATCAAGACATACCATCAGGGAGGCTTGTGATTGGCCCAAATGTATTCTGCAGCAGGACAACGACCCAAAACATGCTGCCCATGTCATTTAAGAACTATCTTCAGTGTAAAGAAGAACAAGGAGTCCTCAAAGTAATGGTTTGGGCCCCACAAAACCCTGATCTCAATTTCAAGTCTGCCTGGTATTAGAATGAGCGACAGAAGGATTTGAGGCAACCTACATCCACAGAAGATCTGTGCTTCATTCTCCTGCCGAGTTCCTTCAAAAACTGTGTGCAAGTGTACCTAGAGGAATTTATGCTTTTTCATAGGCAAAGGGTGGTCACACCAAATGTTTATTTTAATTCAGATGTCTCTTCTGTTAAAAAAAAAAAAAAAAAAACGATTAAAGGATAAGTTCGCCCTTTGCAAAAATTAAAGAACTGCAAAATGAATATAAAAAAAAAAATATTTCTTTTTTAATTGCATTCAAGCCTGGAAAGCATTAGGATCACAGCTGCAAAGCTCAGACTTAAGCGCATTCTCTCCCAGGCAGAGACCGTACTGAGGTACGGCGTTTCAGTTAGGAGAGATGGGGAAGGACGGCTGTACTTCAAACTGCATTCAATCACCTCATACAGCGTCCAGCTGTCCTCGCTCTAGGTAGATGCGGGAATATGGGAAGCTCTACCTAGAGAGAGGACGGCTGAACACTGTATGAGGTGATTTAATGCAGTTTGAAGTCCAGCCGTCCTTCCCCATCTCTCCTAACTGAAACGCCGTACCTCAGTACGGTCTCTGCCTGGGAGAGTATGTGCTGAAGTCTGAGCTTTTAAGCTGTGATCACAATTGCAATGCTTTCCAGGCTTGAATGCAAATATGAAAGAAATACATATTTTTTTTATATATATTAATAATTATGCATTTTTAAAATTTTTGCAAAAGGTGAACTTATCCTTTTTAACACTTATTTCTGAAAGCATTCTTACTTTACAGCATTTTTTTCACACCTGCCTCAAACTTTTGCACAGTACTGTATTAAAGCAATGGCAGCCTGTATATTTATCTCCGTACAAGCTTCCTTTTAAAGCAGTATTGATTTAGCTTTGTGTGCTTCCCAATTTTTATATCCCTGCATTTGTCTTTTTAGAAGCCCGTGCCTACTGCAATATTGCGGCAGCCATCTGTGGAGGAGAAGGAGGAGAAAGTCCCTCCGAGACAGAAGTTTGTACAGTCTGAGCTATCCGAGGCAGTTGAGCGTGCTCGTAAGCGGCGTGAGGAAGAGGAACGCCGGGCTCGAGAAGAGAGGCTTGCTGCCTGCGCAGCAAAACTTAAACAGCTGGACCAAAAGACCAAGCAAGCTTCCAAATCTGGGAATGAGACTCCAAAACGTTTGGAGAACAAGGAGAACGAAGATCCCAGGTCTCCTGTCTCAGACCGGAGCATCACGCAAGAGAGTCCGCAGAATTTCCGAAGAGGTACGACTGCATGTGAGGACTGCTTGAGATCAGTAGCAACCACCTGTTCATGGGGGCAGGATATCAGTCAGGGGTGGTATATGTTTAAATGTCCTTCCTCCTCCTTCCGCTTTCTGTACAGACCTCCAGTATTATTATTTCCCCCCTCCACATAACAGTACATTGCATTAATCTGGTTTTATTGGGTTTCTCCAGTTTGTTTTACTGGTTTTTATTTAGGTTGCCTCTAAGTTCATGACATTGCAGTTAAATCAACAAACACTTAAAGTGGGTAAAGTTGCAGACAATCTGCTAAGTTTAAAATACAATTGTGAACTAGGTTATTGCCACATCAAAAGGGGTCATCACTTTGCCCTCGTCTCCTTTCAGCATATTTCCAAAAGTAGATTGACAGTGATTTTCTTTCTCTCACCCATTTGAGGGTGACAGAAAATCTTTCACCTATGGGTTGCACTGCTGCCTACATTGGACCCTGGCAAACACAGAAAAGAAATCTGTTTGCCAGCCCAGGATAATCCCTCCTACTACCAGCATGCCTCCATTTTTTTTTTTGTACTGTATGAAGTATGAACGTCTTCTCTGCAGCTGTGCTGTGTGAATAACTAACCATTTTTTAGCACCTTTTTTACTCCCAAGTTTAAGTAAGTTTAGTTTCCTTCTACAATCACGACTCTACATTACTGTTAGAGCCTGCCTCTTAGATCACAGCTTACCTGCATAGCCATCTTTCTTAAGCCTGGCTTTTGGATTGGTGTTTCCATACCCTGCTGGGCTGGACGTTGCCGGGGGTAGCCTGGAAGCGACCTTGGGACACAGAGTTTTCACATAGGGCACTTTCCAGGCTCTGTTCTGGAAAAAAAAAAATTGGCCTCGGAACTCTTTTCAGGTTCAAAGCTGCTGGCACTACCTCAGCTCTTGCCCTGTCTCAGAAGACTTTATAAAAAAGCCAGTCATGCCAAGCACCGGGCGCTACCTTTTGGTTCATAAGTCCCTAGTTCCTTTCTTTAAAAACCATCCACATTTTTGTAAGAAGATAACACTGTGTACTGAGCGCTGACATCCACTGGGTGGAGCATCATTCGTGCATGCTCTGTGCCCTTTCCTGCCAAACAGCGTCGGGAAAGTATCTTCACTATGCTGTTCCTGCTTGCAAGGAGCTATATGGAACTTTGATCCTTGATCCATTCCTGCTGCCCACCTACAGGGAGTTTGGTCACCTCCAACCATCTAACCCTCACCTGCTTCTAAACGTCTGGATTTTGAGAGTACCTTCGGCCTTATCTTGTACTCTTGGCCTTTTACGTTGTCTGATTCTAGACAGGGTGGGAACAGTCCTGCTGTAGCAGGTGCCCCAGTGCGCTCACTGGTGTGGTATGGCTGGTTCTGTGCCGTTCAGCTAAGGTTTTTACTACAGCCATGCATGACTTTGTCCCAAATCACCCATTTATTTTAGTGTGACTCTGACCGTAGGGGCCAGTCATTTTCCCGCAGATTCTGTATCTGATCTGTTCATGGCCTTCGTGGCTTGTGAGGCTTCAGCCGCTGGCTCTTGAATTCTAAGGAACTGCAGTCTTTGCCTGATGAGCTTGCCCCTGAGGGGTCCACTGTTATTCCCAAGTTAAGAGACTGTGTTGACTCTTGTGGATGCAGTGTGCACCACTCTGAATTTAAGTGGTTTCCGATCTTGGTTTCTTTGGGTGCCCTAAGTCTGCAAAAACTTTCCAATTGCACCTGTTGTTCCTACTCTCTGTGATGATTGCAAGCATCCTGAAGAGTTATTGTCTCCCTGCAAGTTCTTAACTTTGTACCTGTTTGGGTAGAATTTTATGAAAAAAAATGGTCTACCACCATGGTGGATTTGGCAGTGTTCCTTGTTATCAAAGCGACTACCATATCACATCTGTAGAGTATGTACCGGTTTTTAAGGACCCAATGGCTGAGCAGTTAGCAGTTAAAAGCAATCTATAGAACTCAATTCTTGCAAAAGGGTCCTGTTTTTCATCCTATCATCGCTGTGACTTTACTGTGCCAAACCATGGCTGGCTGGTCAAAATCCCTTAAGAGATTTTACCGCTGCTGCCGTGGGTCCCTTACTTATGGAACACATGGTGTAAATGGCTGTAATGTCAAGTGTGATGGTTTGCTGGCTGCTTACCAGTTCATCTCACTCATTTGTCTCCTGTCAGTACACTGAATAGGACTCTGATTAAAATGCTGGATTGCCGAACACCTCATCTGCATGGCCTTTGCGGGATAACGCCTATTTAGAGCTACCATTGATAACATTATCAAGGATGCCTCCTGTGGCAAGAGCACGCATCTTTTACTCCAAACTTTTTTCTTTACTAATTCTGCAGTCACGTGACCACTCAGTCTTTTGTCTTCCGAGCATGCTTGAAAACCTGCCGAAAATCGGAAGATTTCCGGGGGTTAGTGGCGTGCTCGGAAGACAAAAGGCTGAACGGGCTGGTGTGCGCAAGCACACACTGGCTGCTCAGCATTGGAATCATCGGAAGACCTCCCCTCAGCGGGGAGGGCTTGCGATGATCGCAAGTACGATCTGCCTGTCAAGATGGGCAGGTCGTACGAAATTTTAAAGACCTTACAACCATCACAACGAAAGTCGTGCGATGGTTGTAAGGTGTATGGCCTGCTTTAGTTACAAACGAGCAGGTTGTTTCCTGATGGAACTAGCAGGATCACCTGGGTATATTCTGACTTTAGCAAATCACTTCGAGATTACTGACATTGCTTGGGAATTAAGGTGCCCATACACTGTACGATTCTCATATGAGAATCGCGGGAAATCCTGCGATCGTACGAGAATCGTACAGTGTAGGGAAGGCGTGCAACCGTTTCTACTGTACGGTCGCACGTCTTCCGTCGAACAAGCAGGCTTGAAACCCCGCCGAGAATCGTACAATTCTCGGCGGGTTAGTGGCCTGCTTGTTCGACAACTGCCGAACGGGCCGGTGTGCGCACACGCACATTGCCCGTTTGCAGTGATCGGAAGCTTTCGATGATCGCAAGTACAATCTGCCCGTCCAAGATGGGCAGATCGTACGAGCTTTCAATGAGCTTACGACCATCGCAAGACAAAGGTCTTGCGATGGTCGTAAGGTGTATGGGCACCTTTTAGAGGAACAGAGTTACTAACCAACCTTTCAAAGAGGAGTGTTATGTACCATTTAACTGCATCAGCTAGTGTCAACTTAAGGGCAGTTTTTCTTCCTTGTACCAGTTGGGGACCACTTGATCCTGTTTTTCAGTGATAAGCAGGCTCTAAGGTAGGGAAGCCTACAGCTGTGAGGCCTAAGTATGAAGTCCTTAGATAAGGTTGGTGTTCAGTCAAAACGAAGGGTATATTTCTAAAGTGTAATTAAAATACTTTTAAATGAATAGATTTTAACCCTACTGTTTTAACAAAGCAGTGTCATCCAATGAATGGTTGGTTGTCATTGTCCAGTACACAAGCAAAAAAATTACATATTGTAAATGAGGAAAGTGACCTAAATTGATGATGTAGCAAAATGCTAAAAAAAACTATTTGAATCACCTTGAACACAAACTTTTATATTAAAATAGGACATGTGCCCAAGGGAGTTTTCGTCATGTTCAAAGACCTCATGACTGTAATGACCCTCCTTTGTGCTGTCTTGGAACATGCCTGAGAGTGAATAAATATAAATAATATCTCGATATGGATATATTTATTTTATTTTACACTTTTCAAAGAATTTGTAGGTTTTTTCCATCTAGTATTGGGATCTAGGCTTCCCTGCTAGATGGCACAGCTTCACCCGGGACACATCTGCAGCCTGCTGATTGGCCAGTGATGGGGGTAACGGCTTGTTAGGTCATCACTCTATCTCCACCTGTTGGCACGCTCATGTATTGACATCACACAGGAGATTGCAAGAGGCTTATGTATACAAATTTAGGTACTTGTCCTAGTTACATTTTTTTATTTTGATTGCAGAGATGCATTTTTTTTAGTGTTCTAAAATTTGTCTGGAATCCAACTTGAAAGCTGACCTGTGGGATATTTTCTATTTTATTTTTAATTTAAATCTTCATGAGCATTGTGCATTTCTTTCCGATCTGTGCAGTAATCCAGTGTAAAGCTTTGCCTCTGTGCAGGAGCTTCCTGTAATAAAGACCGATCACTGCTGCTTGTCCAGGGTGACTGATCCTGTATCCGCCCCCCTCCTTTAGTTTTCTGTGGGTGAGACCTTCTGGCCCCTCCCACAACTCTACTTTCGGCTATGTACAATTCAGTGATGATAGCACTGCTACTTTTACATGATTCTAACTGGGCTTGCAAAGGCATTGAGTGCGCTCAGTGGATTTATATTTTTTGGCTACTGAGGAATATATTTTATGTAGGCACAAAAAAAAAACACTTGTTCAGCTTTAAAAATGTGCTTTTAGTAGTTTTTGTCCCAATGTCATCACATTTTTATCTTTGCTACTGGGTAGATAGAACAGGTTAGTGTTAGGGCGTTTTCCCATGGTGCTTGCTGTGTAAGCTTTCTTAACAAATCTCTTAACTGTGGAACCAGAATCTGCTGCTATATTTATAACATTGTCAGACCATTTTTTTATTTTTTTTTTTAGTATTTTTTTTTTAATTCAACTTGATTTTGTGCTTTTTGTTTACACTGCTGCTAAATGTATTTATTTGTCTTTCATCAAGCTGTGCAATATTATAATTTTGAATAAACACTCTTTTTTTAATGAAGGCCAAGTTTTGCCTTTTGGGTTTTTGTTTAATAGGCAGGTGAATTTCTTGTTTAAGGAGTACCTGTTAACTCTACATCGTGAAAGTGGGCAGTTGAGAGATGCCTATTAGCTAATTGTTTACCACCACTACCTCTTGGCTGTGGGAATATTCACCCAGCTTTTCACATGGTTATCTGTTTTTTTGCTAAGAGCTGGTTATAGAAGCATGGGTTTGGGTATTTTTTTTTAATGTTGTCTTTGCTTATTAGTTTACAAGC